TGAAGACTGCTGAATTATGGTGTTTTCGCATCCGCAGAATTTTGGTCGCAGATGCGACTCCGGAGATGCAGGACTTGGAGTCGCTAAAGCGTAGCTTCGCTGGAGGAGCTAGGGGCTGCGGATGCAGGAGGTGGGGCGCAGAAGCACAACCGCAGATGCGAAGAAGGGGCCGGGGAGGTGGGGATTGAGATTTTAAGTAATTCTTGCAGATGTGAGATTTTGTCCGCAGATGCGGTAGTTTTGTCCACAATTGCATGAATGTTGACCGAATATTAGTTCGAAGGGTTTGACCATTTTCTCATTATTTGGAGTTGTTGAGCTCGGCTAGAAGCGATTTTTGGACAGATTTTCACCACAATTGGAGGTGTAAGTGCACTTTAGTTGATTTTGATCATAGATACTGATTACCCATGGATTACTACACCTAATTTATGTGGATTTTTTAAAGTCCACTAGGCATTGTGTCTAAGGTTAACTTTTATAAATATAAAATATAGTACAACAACAATGGAGGAGGACATAAACCTTACCTCCAGAAATAAGATAAAGGTGCATTTGGTTAGCCATATATGACAACCAAAAGACCGCCGAACACTATGATGAGTTAGACCTATGATGATGTACCAATTGTTTATCCAACAATGATAGACAATTGGATGTACAAAAAATAAGTGAAGTAAGCCTAGGTCAACTATACAAAAATGCACAAATGATCCTAAATCTACTAAGAAAAAAGGTTGGAAGATCATGTTCCATATACAACAAATTTTACATCTAATGAGAATGTAGAACTATCCTAGAAGAAGTGGTAAACACCATAATCTAGTGGAGGGGGCTATCTTCTAGTTTGCTTTGGTATTGATGACAATGAAGGCCAAGTGGAAGATAACTATAAAAAAAAGCTCCTAAAGGTGAGATGTTTAGCTGCAACTGTCTAATGTTTCTGACAGAAGAGAGTGGGCATTTTGCTACTTCAATTATCCAGCTGAGTTTGAAACTTGCAGTGTGTGAACAGGACTGGAGAGCTGGATCTGGTACCTCAAGATGTTCTTGTTGATTGTTTGCATTGATGGCATGCTGCTGTAGATGTGCTTGCTGCTGGGATTTTGTGCAGTTGCTGATTTGTTTGAACTGCAACATTGAAGTTGAAAGCTTAGGTAGCAGCTGCTGATGACTTGGATTTCTGTGGTTCATTGCTTTCAGAGATGCCCCATGAGGAGCTTCCATGATGTTGATGCTACTGTGTATGTAGCTGTTGATGAACGTGTGTTGGTTCCTGCAGGTTCTAGTAGGAAAGCTATGACAAACCCTCAAAAATTGACACAACTGCAGAAGGTTGAGCATTTGAAATGCTAATACCACTCCTTGTAATTGAGTCAATATTTTCAGTCCATCCAAGGTACCTGCAACAAGAAACAAACAGAAAAATTCTGTTCCCAGGTTCTTGTGTATACTGGGAGCAGTGGTGGAGAGCATGTTGTGGGGATCATGGCTTTTCAGTGAAGGTATGGAAAGAAATAATGAGTGGTGATGGCTTGAAAAACTGAATGCTGACGTATGACAGCCTAGTGAAGGAAGCAATTCTGCTCCCAAGTTCTTGTGTAAACTGGAGTTTCCTGAAGGTTCGAACATTGGACACATGGGTTTGGGTTGTGGTTTCTGGAGTTTTCCTGGGTCTGCTGCACTAGGAGTACAACAGTTTTTGGGTGTGTGTGGTGGTTGAAATATTGGTGGGTACATTTGGATGGTTGGTTGAAGTTGAACTTGGGATTGAAGTAATGTAGAGTGAAGTCCTGCCCAGGAGATACATGGGCTTCTTCACTTGCTACAACTGCTTCATTTTTGGGAGGAAGTGGTGTTTGTTGAGCACATGTGTGTGGTTGTAACAGATGGTGTGTGCAGAATAGTGGTGTGCCCAACAGTAGTTAAAGTTGAGGGAACTTAAACTGCTGAGAGGACATGATTCTGCAGCTGGAGTTTCTGCTGCTTCCAATTGATATGCTCCTAGGATAATGAGCATCATAGATGCTAACATCACGATCTGGGAGTACATCAATTGGGTGAGCACTACTGATGGAGGGAAACCTGCAAAAAAGAGCACAAAGTTAGAGAAAAAATGGCCATTGCTGCCCAGTTTCTTGTTTCTACTGACTGCAGGCAATTTTTTGTGTTTCGAGACAAAGGGGTTAGCTCCTAGGTTCTTGTGGATTTTAGGAGCAACTGTAGGAATAGGACAGAAGATATATGTTGAAATTTTTTTTTGGTGTGGAATGTTTATCTTTTTGGGTTTTTCTAACTTTTTTCCTGCACCTAGTGAAGCTGGTTTTGTGTTCACAGGTGCAGTGTGTGTGTGTATGTGTGTGTGTGTGTGTGTTAAGGTCTGCTCCAGTCCATTGGTCAATCCTCAGGAGATTGAACAGCATTGCTGTTAATACCACACTTTGAGGATAGGCCAATGGGCTTTGTAGTCCCACAATGATGATACCTGCAAAAAAGAAAAGGAGGTTAGCATGGGCAAGAATTGGCCCCAAGTGATGCCTTGTGTTCTTCATTTGGACTGACATTTGGGCCCCTATTTCTAATGAAATATCAACCATAACCATTAGATGAGGCAGAGGAGCTTGCATGTTGTGAAGGTACCAGGATTCTGCTGGTTTTCTTGTGCCTAAAAGCAGGAGCACCCAGGTAATCTTGCATGATTTGCTCTCTGATGTGAGCTGGGAGTGAAGAGGCAGTATGGAACTCAGTCAATGTGGTGAATTCATGACTGATCTTTGAACGAATTAGCAGGACAATTTGCTTCTCTGTACACATGAGAAGCTCTAAAATCTACACATTGGGTGCACATGTCCTTCAACTGTGATACCTTCATTTTCAATGTCCAAGGGGGGTCTTTATCTTCAGTCAGCCATTTGATCAAAAGTGCTGAATCTGCTTCTAGGTGAATTATGGTGAATCCATTAGCGAAACACCACTGTACCTATTCTTGCTGCTTCAGTTTCTGCATAGTTGTTGGTGCCCTCCCCTAATGGAATAGACATAGCATGAATGAACTTCCCCTGGTGATTTCTAATTATAACTCCAGCTCCTATCTTGCCAGGATTGGTTAGTGCACTACCATCAGAATTAATCTTGACAAAGTCATTATCAAGTTTGTTCCAACAAGGGTAGAAATAGTGTATTGCTGGAGGTTTTCATTGAAAAGATAGAGATCTTCCCAGTTGAGGGGCCAGTTGATATCAGGGAAGTTGGTTCCTAGGAGCAGGTTGATGTCTGAGTTGATTGAATATAGGACCCTGGTTAAGGAAGAATATTTTGCCCCATACTTGGCACTGCATCTATTTTTCCATAAGTTCCAGCAAATAATGGTAGAGGTGGTGTCCAAGATGAGCTTTTGAACCACATTATGACTCTTCTGTAGCCACCATTTCTTCAAAAGCATAATAAAAGGTAGGTTCTCAGCGTGGACACCTACATGTCCTCCATACTTCCTCCAAATGATTCTTGCAAAATTACCAGAACCGAAGAGGTGATCTACTGTTTCATGAGCATGCACTGAGCAACAAACACATCTTGAAATAGTGGGACTGCTGAAGGGGAGCACTCTTTCATCAGTGGGTAATTTGTTTCTTAAGGCTCTCCAAAGGCAGAATGACCATTTGAAAGGGATCTTTGTGTGCCATATCATCTTGTTAGTGAAGTTGGGTGGCTTTTTGTTCCTTATGAGATCCCAAGCAGTAGCACAGGTGAATTTACCATCCACAGTAGGGGTCCAGATTAGCTTATCAGGGAGATCTGGACTGAAGTGGATGGCTATCTACATGATCTCATGAAACTTATGAGCTGGAGCTGTTTCATTAAGCTTTTGGAGGTCCCAATTCCCCTCATTCTAGAAATGAGAAACTGAGATTCTGCCTGGTCTTCCTCCTCCTCTTCTGCTGTTGGCCAAAGGGCCTGATCCCAACCAATTATCCCACCAGAAGCTGCAGCACCCATTATGTAATCTTCACTGAATTGCGGTTTCAACATCTTTTTTGTTGAACATCAGCCTTTTCCAAGCTTAAGATTGGCTAGTGTCCCATTTCTTGGATATTGGGTGAGATCTCTGACAGTATTTGGCTTTTAGAAAGGAACTCCAAAGTGAGTCCACAATTATGAAATGCCACCACTGTTTGAATTCCATGGCCTTGCAGGTATCTTTGATTGTTCTGAAGCCAATACCACCTTCATTGAGAGGCTAAGATAGTTTTGACCATGATGCCTAATGATATTTGTGTTTGTCTTTGTCCATACCCCATAAGAAGTTAGCATCAATCCTTTAATCTGCTTCATGACTGTGTTGGGAGGGGACACAACTGAAATTAAGTGAATTGGTAGAGCCTGCAATATATGCTTGATCAAAGTTGCCTTTCCATCATAGGATAGCATTTTACCATGCCAACCTTTGATTCTTCCCACAACCTTAGGAATTAGCCCATTGAAGTGCATGATTCTACTTCTACCAGTGTACAGAGGACACCCCAGGTATGTGAGAGGTGAATCTTTTTTGGTGAATCCTGTCACTTCATGAATTCTTTTAATAGTAGCTTGCTGAGCAAAGGGGGGAGTCATGAAGTAGCTCTTCTGTCTGTTAATGAGCTGCCCAGAGGTGTTCTCATAATTTGTAAGGACCCACATGATCTTTATGAGAAAATTTCTTTTGCCAGAGGTAAAGATGATGATATCATCTACAAAGCTCAAGTGATTGATCTGTGGCCTTCTCTTTTCCATGTAGAAGCCATTGAATAGTTGGTCATGGTTCAAACTATTGAGCATTCTAGAGAGAAGTTCTGCACCTATGATGAATAAAGATGGGGCTAGTGGATCCCCCTATTTGAGGCCCCTTGAGGATTGGAAGAAACCACATCTTGTACCATTTACAACTACAGAGTACCATTTGTTAGACATTGTCCTCCATATCATGTCAATGATCATTTCATTGAATCCCATTCTTCTGAGTGTTAAGCATGTAAAGCTCCAGGAAACCTGTCATAAGCTTTTTCCATGTCAAGCTTGATGACTACATTTGAACCCACATTTGGCTTCTTAATACCATGAAATATTTCCCGAGCAAGCATGATATTTTCAGAGATGTTCCTACTTTTGACAAAACCTGATTGATTTGCTGAGATGATCCTAGGAAGAATAGGACCAAGCCTTGTGCCAATGACCTTGGAGATAATCTTGTTGACAAAATTGCTAAGAATAATTGGTCTAAATTCTGTGAGACTATTAGGGTTTTCAACTTTTGGCAGAAAAACTAGGCATGCACTAGTCATGAACCTGGGCATAGGACTACCTTTAAAAAAGGCCAGAACAACATTGAATAGGTCTTCTTTGATCACTTCCAAGCATGATTGGTAAAATTTCCCATTCATAGCATCTGGTCCTGCTGCACTTGTAGGATTCATGAAAAAAAAATCTCCTTTATTTCAACAATAGATGGATCCCTAGTTAGGGTAGCATTGTCTTCATCTGTGATCATAGTTGGGATGATAGACAGAAGGTCTTCTCTAATTACTGTGCCAGGATCTAAGAAAAGGTTTTGGAAATAATCACAAGCAGCCTCTCCAATATTTTCATCTCCCTGGATCCATTCACCTTCCTCATTCTTGATTTTGTAAATAAACAGTTTCCTTCTTCTTCCTCTGATTAAACTGTGAAAATATCTGGAGTTTGCATAACCTTCCTTGAACCATTGAAGCTGAGTTTTTTGCTTCAAGATATCCTGTTCAATCTTTAGATATCTAACATATTGGGCCTTCAGTTCATTAAGGGCTGATCTGTCAGGATCTGCATTGGTTTGAGCCCCGGTAGTTTCTGCATTTTTGACCTTTTGTTCAAACTCCCTGGCCTTCAGAAAAATATCTCCATATTCTTGTCTAGACCACTGACTCAGGGCATGACTTATTGCTTTCAACTTCTGATGAAACACCCATACTTCTGAAACCAGAGGTAAGAATCCTCTGTTGTCTACCCAGCAATTGAGAAATTTGAAATATTTTTTGCCATTGCCCTGCCTGATATGAAGTTCCAGGAGTAGTGGAGTGTGGTATGATCCTGTTGAGGCTAAATGAGAAACTGTAGCAGCAGGAAACATTTCTAACCATTGATCATTGGCAAGGCCCCTGTCAAGTCTTTTTCATACAATAGAACATTGCCCCCTTCCATTGGACCATGTGTATTTGGGACCAAAGAAGCCAAGGTCCACAAGACCACAGTCTTCAATCAAGATCAGAAGCTCAATACTTTTGGACATTTGGTATGGAATTCCACCAATTTTTTCTTTTACTGAGGCAATGACATTGAAATCACCTATGACATACCATAGAACATTGTAGCTGGATGATTTGTGTCTCAGAACTTCCCACAGGGGTCTTCTAAGGACAGGTTTGCATTTAGCATAGATGGCTGTTAGGTGGAACATTTTTCCATTTTCAGCATGTGTCATTTCCAATGACAGTTGTTGTTCATCATGATCTAGGACTTTAGCAGTGAATTCTTTATCCTAGAACATCCAAATTTTATCATTTATGTTAGAAGCAGCTTGATGCACGGAAAGTTAGATTTTGAAGGGGTTGATGTGAGAGTTGTCTAAGAAAGGTTCAAGCACAACTATGAAAGAAAGTTGATAGATTTGTTTCAGGATTTTGAGCCTTTCAACAGCTCCAGAGGTCCTGATGCCTCTTGCATTCCAAATGATTGTACTAATCATTGAAGGGAGTATTTTAGGTTGTGTTTTGGTGGGACACTGCTACTTCTATTTCTAGTAGCTCTACTCCTGGTTAGCCTTGGTGAGGGACTCTTTCTGGATGAAAGTGTTGCAGGAAAAACATTTTCCTTGTTTGAATTTCCATTCACTGTAGCAATCAAGAGATCACAGTGTTGTTCCTTTTCAAGATTTTCATCACTAGAATCATTGTCAACATCTTGTTCCCCAGTTAATTCATCCTCAGATTCAATTAGTCTGTATTCATCTTGCTGTGGAGTATATATGTTGATAGGATATTCCTCTAGAACCATTTCTAAAGGATGCAAGTGATGGTTCTTTGTGGAGGTGCTGGTAGAGGCAGAAGTGGCTTTGTGTTTTTTTGGATGTGAGGTTTACATCATTGGTGGGTAGATCTGATTCATTTCCATCTGAGGTTGGTTCTTTATTGGATAGCAGAGGTTGGGAAAGGGAGGGATTGATTATTACTGAGTTTCTGTAGGCAAGGGATTCCTCTGTTTCATTAGGATCAGGCCTGAATCTTTTCTGGATTGCAGGGCTCAAAAAATGGGTATCATCAGGTGGTTCATTGATGTTGATTCCTGCATTTTGTTTCCTCATTGCTTTCCTTCTCTTTTGGCTAGGTTTATTTTTTGGTTTAGGAGCCTGTATATTGAAATCTGCAGTTGCATGAGCTTTTCCTTTCAATAGTCTCCTGACCTGATCATCTTCCTGAGTTGGTAATTCCTCTTCAGAGCTGATGACTTCACAGTGCTCAACTTCATCAAAGGATTGATGAACATGTTGAGTTTTAGAACTGGAATAGTGGTAGCAGGGGATACACAGTCCAACCTATGGTTAACCAATTGTGCATTTGCACACTTATGCAGAACATGAGGAATCCCCTCCCCTGATGGTACCCCTTCCTGATTTTCTGTATGTTTCTCCTGACACTTCTCCATCCCTCCTTGAACTTCTTTATCAGATAGAGAAACATGGGGAGAATGGGATTGGGAAACAGGATTCTGAGCCACAAAATCCTTCATAACTGTATTTGCATTGGCATTTTGAGAAACAATTTGAGTAGCAAGAGTTATACCCGAGATTTTATTGGTGGTAGTATTCTGAGAAGAGGTACCAGCAGATGACTGATTTGCCTGTTGTTTTGGTAAATACATCTGCTGATGTTTCTTGTTCTGAGAGGTACCTTTGAAGTTTTTCCTCTTTTGTGTTTGCCAATCATCTTTTTGAGGTACTGTGTCATTACTTTGGTGTTGCTTTTCTTTTTGATGTTCTGCAGCCTTTGTGTTGTCAATTTGGTCTTCTCGCCCTTTATTTGTTTTTTCCTGCTGTCTATTATTTTGGTGTTGTTTGCTTGTTTCTGCATTTTCTGCTGAATATTAGACTGTGAGGATGTCGCTGCAACCGCTTCTTCCTTCTTTCTCTTCTAAGCTTCAAATTCTCTGATCTTAACTGGGCATGCTTGAAGATAGTGGCCCAGGTGTCTGCAGTGAGTACAATAGGAAGGAAGGTTATCATATTGGACTTCAAGCCATTGTCCATCTCCATTAACATCTTGATCCTCATCATAGCCTAACCAGACATGGGTTGGCCTATCCTTGGTGAGATCAACCTGCATTTTTACCTTTACCACACTAGCTCTAGTTTTTTGAAAAGAGGCAAAATCCAAGAAAAGGGCTTTCCCAATTGGAGATAATAATGGAGTGAGTATCTCCATGTAATATAGGTGCCAGGGCAATTCAGGGATCATGATCCTGATAGGAATAGTAGGGGAGTCTTCATTTGGCTTGAAGATAGGATTCCATGCTTCTATTCTCATCAATTAACCCTGAATGTACATATGTTGTTTGGACCAGATAGTTGAATGATCATACTCATTGTCAAGATCAATGTAAATTGTCCTTGCATTGAAGTGAGCAATTTTAACCCCACCTCTTAGTTCAGTCTGGTCAACAAAGCTCTTTCTGGTGGTTTCATCTTTGGCTTTGTGTGTTGGAACTTACCAACAACTGTGAACTTACATCTATCAGCAAATTTGACCATGTAGTCCTCTCTTTTAAAGATCACAACAGGTTTACCTTGCTTGGTAGTGATGACATGAGATGTAAATTGCAGGGGTGCAATCTCAGCCTCATGTCTGGCCCTCAATTTAGTGACATAGGATTGGGTGACTGTTGGAGGTGGAGGAGGGGATGGAATGTTTGGTGATTTGGATTTGGTGGAGTTATTGATTGCTTGAGGGTTATTATTTGGAGCTGGTATAGCCTGAAGGTTGGACTGTATCTGAGGTTGTGACGAATTAACTGGGGGCTTAACAGAAAGTTTTGGATTTTTCTTTGAAGTGTGTGGTCGATCAAAGTTGGATGAAATTTTAATAGAGGGTTGCATAGATGGGGCAATGGGTATCTGGGGTTGGTTCTGAGCAGCAGGAGTGGCTCTGCCACTGTTGGCAGCCACCTGGGCTTCTAATAGAATTGAAGAATTGCGTGTATCATTATTTTGGATTGTTGCTGATGCAATTCTCATACAAGGAGCTTCCTGAGCACTTGTATTATCTTGAAGGATTTCTTGTTCATAAGTTTGACCCACTTGGACTGTTGGACCACCATTGATGACCACCTACATTTCTGATGAAGGAGGCGACACTCGATCACCACTTTTTTGGATTGATTCCTATAAAGTTGATTGAGGATTAGGTTCCTTATGAGCTTGAGAGGATTGAGGAATAACACATTCCCTCAATTGGTCAGTGGGAGTGGCTTGGGCATTATGTCGAGCACCTGGTGTGCTCAGCTCTGCAGAAGTTCCTTTTTGAAGATTGGAGGAGTTTGGCTCAATGGATTGATGTTGTGGCATCTTAGAAATGTTCTACACAGCTGCATAAACCATTTTACATTGGTTTCGCTCCAATTGGACATCTGTAGCTTCTTCTCCGACCAACCTGTGCTCGCCAGAGAGTTGCAGATGAATGAGGCTCTCAATTCCTACGGTGGAATTCTCTGAAAATTGGTGGGTAGACGTTTCTTGAGATGGAGAAAACTCTCTAAGTTTTAAATTTCCACAATTTGTCCCAGGAATTAATTGGGAAATGTCAGAAGTTCCCATGCAATTTTGCTACAGTGGTTGCACCACCATTTCTATGGTCTGTAGCAGCTGGGGAAGAGTTGAGGGGGGAGCCCACCTGGGGTTTTGTGTGCAATGTTAAGGCACATCTTTTGGGACTGGTACAGTGGTTTTTCACCACCAAACGATGGAGTTATGGTCATTCCGACGTGGCAATGTCACTGTTCACGCGAATCGCCTGTAATTTATGGTGGAATTTGGGGGGTTTTGTGCTTTCGTTTTGGAAAGTGAAAATTAATGATTTGAGGGTCGACTTGAGTTTGGATTTGGATGAAACACATATATTTGGACTCGTACCGAAATGGGTGTTCGGGATTTTTGAGTTTTATCAGGTTCCATGGTACGAGTCCGGGGTTGACATTTTGGATTGACTCGGCATATTTGAATCAATATCTTAGCTTTATTATTTGGAATTGTTTCCTATGTTTTCTACTGACGATATTAAGTTATTTTGGCTAGATTCGAGCCGTCAGGAGGTTGATTCACGCGGGAAGGGCTTTCTAGAGTACTGATTTAGCTTGCCTGAGGTAAGTATCTTACCTAACCTTGGTTGCGGCA